TTTTTTCCAAAACTGGGGATTGAACTCAGGCCCTTGAGCTTGCCAGGAAAGCGCTTATTCTACTGAGCCATCTCCCCGGCCCCTAAACTCTATAATTGACCATGAGATAATTTCCACATGTGCTTTCTTATAATTGGGTCAGTAACTACTATCAAATTTTTTATATTCAGGTGTGAGAGAGACATTTTATGAATTAGAACTTGAATCAAATTCCTGTCTTGATTTTTTTCCTTTATTGACTTGGTTGATTTTGGCTTCTGAGATTTATAGCTAATGACATGTAAAGAATGTACTTTTCTATGTCAACTAGGTAATTTTAATTGATTTTAATTCACTTTTGAAAACATATTGTTGTACCTAAACTTTTGACTTGCTTTTAATAGTATATTGAATTTTACTTGTTTTCTTGTGGGAGCAACTGAAATATAAAACTAAAGTTTATATAGCATTCTGCTTTACTAACTTGATAAAGTGATATGTAATTAGTATTTGTACCTTTTAATTAGGACATCAGAAGTTATACTAAGTCTAGTTTACAATTAGTGTTGTTTTTATATGCATGACATGATACAACAAAAACACTTGGGTTTTTTTCTTAATGTTATGTTAGCAGAGTAAACCTTGTTGGTGTTCCAGGACTTGTTCTAAAACCTTTACATCAAATGCTGTGAATGCGCCCTGGATCTGTTTATGTAGTGGGTAAATACAGCTTTCACAGCCAAGTTGTAAGAGGTGAGTTGTTACCAAGTCAACTAATGGGAGTGCAGTTCTACTTGAAAGCAGCAGGGTAGGTTATTAAATGGTACTGAACTATCCAGGCAGGATTCTCCTCTGTGGACAGTCAGGTGGCCTGCTCGCTGAATAGCTGGCCTGCTCGGAGGCAGTTCACATAGTGGTTCACATCACACTGGGAGGCCATTGAGAGGATGGGCCAGAGGCGTACCTGTCACTGGAACCCTGAGCAGGTAGGTGCCCTTGCTCATGGTCTGCCTCTGCCCCTGAGGGCCAGCGTTCAGCTTCTGAGCCTGAAACCAGCCCAGTGAGCAAACCTGAAAGAGATCATCCCGAAACGCCACCTAGCAGTAGCTTTTTAATTTTATCCTTGCTTTGCTTTGTCTCTGTATTGTTTGCCTAAATATATTTCCCTGAAGACAGGAACCATTTTGGGATTTGACTTAGATTGGAAGACAGGATTTGATAGGTTCTGGCCCTAGTAAGAATTGCTGAATTATTATGGTGGTCATCTAATATGGCTGAAGCCCTTAAAACAACAGCTCATCTTCCCAGAGACCACCTCCCCTCTTCTTCTCCAACTCAGCCCAGGGTGCAGTTTCCTTTCACCTTTCTCTCCACCTCAGGGAAGGCCCCAGTCAGCTCCCCAGGTATATCTAAACTTCCCCCTCAAGCCCCATCCCTGGCAAAGGCCATAAAAGCCTCAGCCTCCTTTCGTTCCAATCCAGAGAATTCCTTATCTTCCCACATTCTCTCCGTGTCCTCTAAGATAATGAAGTCCCTTTTCCTTTATAATAAAGCCCCTTTCCCCTTTCCTCCTGCGTGTTTCTCTGCTGCGACACCGACACCGTTAAAACCTATCAAGATTCATCTGCTCTCTGATTTGGCCTGGTCTTGGATTTAGGTCTCCTACCTGGAGAATTGGGTTTGCTCTTGAGTCTGGGCCTGGGAAGTAAAAGGCGAGTCTTTCTCAGATGGACTGGCATGGTTCAGGGAAGGGGACAGCAGGTACTTGTAGCACATCTTTGCCTTACTGTGGATTGAAACAAAATGTGAGACAGATTCACATATTCTGAAAGTAGATCTGAAATTATCTTGAAAATTCTTGCCTGTCAAAAGTTTTCAGTTATTCACAGCCACTTAGATGGAATTTTGTGAACATTTTCAAAACCAGAGATTAGAAAAGCATAGGCTCCATTCGCACGGTGGTAGCGGCACCCTCCACGCCCAGCAAGGTCTGTATTCCCGACTTGGCCACCATTTGCCAGTGCCCTGTGGTCCTTGCCGGAGACGATCTTGCTTAGTCAAGGACTGCCAGTACCTGCAAGCCCTTTCCCGGCACAACCACAATATAAAGACTCACGGAGTCCTGAAGTCAGTGCTCGGCAAAGTGCTTAGTCCTGGATGTCACATTTCATCAGGATTTCTGGGAAAGGAACAATGACAGGTTTGCCCAGCCCTGTCAACCCCTCCCACTCTTCTTCCTGCCCATCTGCCTTTCTGAGCTCTGCTTAGTCCTGACTCTAGAAAAACCCCAGCCCTGCCAGGGAGACCAAGCTCCCCCAAGACACTGTGTGCCTTTCCCTTTGTAGTATTAATGAGGTGGTAGCACGACATTTACTTATGTGACAGATGTTTATTGTCACTCACTCTCATCTCAACTCCATTAAAATTGATCAACATTGTATCCCTGGAGTCTGGCATGGGTGCCTCCTGCATCAAGATTTGTTTTATCAATCAATTAAAAAGTTAGAAATAAAAATAACATAAACTGATACACATTTTCTTATAGATATTGGCATTTTTTTTTTTTTTTTTTTAGTCTGCTTCTATAAACTGCAAAGCCGAGAATAGTTAAAAGTATCTAAAAGAAATCTGTGAAAAGGTTTTGGTGCTTATTTTCTGCTTAGAACTTGTCCTGTGTGTGGCATTCATTCGTGTGCTTCTTCTTGAGACAGGGCATCTCTGTGTGTCCAGGCTGACATTAATCTCACAGTCTCACAGTGGTCCTCTTGCTTCAGCCTCCCAGGTGCTGGGATTACGGGTGTGCACCAGCCGCCACTCCCCACTTGCTCTGCGCATTATTTAGGGGTTTTGGTTTTTTTTTTTTTTTTTTTTTTTTTCCTCTGCTTTGTTTGTTTGTTTGCTTGTTTGAGAACACCGTGTCACCTTGTGTTGCTCAGCTGGGTTTCTGTGATTCTCCTGCCTCAGTCTGCTGGGTGTTTGCTTTGCTTTAAAGAAGGAAAGGTTTATGTAGCTCACAGTTTGCACTATTTTCAGTCCATACTCAGCTGGCTGCAAGGTACAGTTGACACATGACAGAGTGCAGCCATTTGGGTGGCGGAAGGCAGCAAGAGCAGCAAAGGAGGAGTGGGGAGGAGTGGCCGGCCACTGAGGTGTTAAACCGTACCTGCCTCCTCACTTTACCTAATTTCAGCCACTCTGTAGTCTACATCCTTATCTACTCAGTTTTCCTACAACAAAATTGCACAGATGTCTGGAAACGCAGGCAGGATGGATTGTTACAAATCCCTCATGGGGCCCCTAAGCGTGCCTGATATAGTAGTGTTAAGCCAATTAAGTGTGGAATCAAATTGTGTAAATGATTTTCAGAAGTCTTAACTTTGTCAGTGGCGGCAAAGGTTAACCTCACAATGTACCTTGGTATGATCTGGACTAGGTAAGTTCTAGTCAGTGGTGTTATACTAGTATGGATCTATTA